ATAAATCACTTACAAGTGTGGCTTATCATTGACCATCCTAAGGATCTGCCAAGTGCTCTTGTTATCCATGCCTTCCTTGCTGACTGTAAGTGTTACCGAGAGAGCATCCAATCCTTCCGGAAGATGTTTTAATGGCAATTCAAAGACTGCCCGATTAAAATCAATTTTCGTTGATTGTTGATCAAAACATGGAGTGGCATTAGTGTTGTTCAAAAGATGGCACTCCCACTTGAACCTAARTGAATATCAGACAATGTCAATTATATTGCAGTCACCTATCAATAGACAGCTTGTCTGAGACATCAAAGCACCTTCATCTGGAGGACAAAAGATTTTTGTCCTCTATTCATTTGTCATCCAGTTGGAGCTGCATTCCCTTGAAATGCAAACATGGTGACATGATGACAGAAGACCAAGCGCAAGCCTGCATACCAGCCTTCTTTCCTGGTACACAGGGATTACAAGAGGGCAGCTATGCAGGCTACATAATAATTCTTTATAATAATTCTTTACTAGAGTGCACGTCACATAAGCATGAAACAATTCTTAACTAATTAGCGCCTAATAAGATTTAGTTATCAACTAACTAAGAGTTTAGTGAGGCATAAACAAAGACAAGTTTCCTTTCTGGCATTGTGTTCATGCTCCAGTGAATTCTTAGTAAGTTGATAACTAAATCTTATTAGGCGCTAATTAGTTAAGAATTGTTTCATGCTTATGTGACGTGCACTCTATTGGCTACATATGAATCAAATGCTTGGCTTTCAGGTCCAAAATGTTAGATTTGAAAGAAACAAAACATAAAGGACTCCAAATACCTTATTTATAATTAAGAACATGGCATTCTTAATCTTTTTGTTCAGTTGTCATTTTTAGCTATGTTTGCACAACAAACAGGAATCATCATACAAAGAAGTGAACACTTACTGACGCTATCAACAATAACTGAGAATTACACAACTAACCTTAGCTTCTCGCTTTCATTTGGAAAGTCAGGATCTCTTGACTCACTGCCGTCAAGGATGATTGGATCTTTACTCCCATAGCCAATAACACGCATTGAGCCACCTTGAATCGATGCAATTAAACCATGTTGGACAACAATGATCTCAATTTTTTTCTCATCAGAAAGAACAGTGTTGTTTTTGTAAACCTGAGAATGAAAATGAGGTTAACATCTGCTGTTTTTAACCAAAAATAAATAATAAAAACAATRTTTTTTAGCATTACTTGCTTAGGACTTATAGTAATTTTGTTATAAGACTCTTTTAGATTGGTTTTCATCAACCCRTGAAACAAAATTTAATAATCAAAGTGTAAGAATGTGTGCTACACTGAAAACACAAAGAAAAACATTCAAAATGAAGAAGAAATGAAGTGTGAAGTGCCAAAGCGTATGTTTTTTATGCAAATGATCCTGTTGACCAGCTGAAGGATGAACATGCCATGTTATATAATAAATGCATGCATGAGCTTAGATGTCGTTTTGTTCCTGCAGTAGAACAAGGTGGGGTGTAAATGTATACCCCATGCCATTGCCATGAATATTTTATAGCTGCATTACCTTCAGTATGACATCATACTTTCCATAATTCAARGTATTGGGTGGTATAATCAGAACAGATTCAGAAACTTTCAGAGAGGATATATTTGCTTTGAAAGCCTTCTTAGATTCTGGGATGATCTGCAGGAAAATAAACAAATGTTTGAGTGGTATACATGTGTAAGAGAATCCAGAATCCGGAATCCATTAAAAAACAGCTTTGGAATCTGGAATCCCTATCCTGGAATCCAGAATCTGGATAGTTAGGAAGATTGCTTTTATCGGTAAAAATCTAGCTGTCTAGAGATGGAAACGCACATCCGACTGATATGCTGCACTTTACTGTACTTCATAATGTAGTTGTTCGTCAGCATGCGACAAAATATTGGAGACAGTGCTAATTTGTGACACGCTAGCCTGTGTTGCCGGACGCTGAATATAACATTTTCAGGGTAAAAAAAAAACGCTGAAAATCACACCATTTATTATCCGGAATCCAAAACAAAAATTCTTTGGAATCCGGAATCCCAAGGCTTGGAATCTGGAATCCARTGTTCATTAAGATAATACCTTCCACTCATAAAGAAGAGAAAAATCTTCCCAGCTACAGTCAATTTTCACTTGACTTTCTATATTCACTTCTTCAAACCTGTAAATCTGAAATGAAAAGTTCATTATTAAGGAGCTCTATGGTATTGAAACCATAGGTGTCAATACCTTGAAACTTCTCCAGCCAATAATTTTAACATTTGGAGGTTGACATGAAGGAATCTTAGTGACAAATATTGAGCTGCTGTCATCTGCTCGGCTAACATTGTTGTATGCCAACACTTTTACATTGTAAAGACCTTCCCTACAAGAATATGTGAAAAAAATATGGAATAAATTATTCCAGTTAGATTTAACAAGAATTCACATTTTATAGGTRGGTGCGCCAATGTTTACRTTTATTTGCATAAAAGTTAGAAAATATCAAATTTCAAGCAACAAGAAAATMGAGCCCATAAATGAAAAGAGCTCATACCTGTTAGCAATTCCGAAAATTTKAAGGCAATTGGTTAAMTATTTTACGAGATATCAAGCACCAAATTTGCAAGATTTTCTAAARAAATGACYGTGGTGGGCATTATRTTGCCAACCACTGAATRTTTTCTATAGATTTTGTAGTTTTGACATGCCAATTAATCTCGAAATGTTAATCTAACTTCTGTTATAGTGAATTTGTTTATTGTTACAATACTAAGTATTAATCTTTGTTAAATAAACACTTATTGTATTTGTGCAAACCTGTGTACGTACACATRTATAAACCATAACCATGTAATTAAGTCAGATCATTTCGCATACCTTGTTTGGATATTCAAACATCACATTTGCACTTTACCATATTCAAGTAAAAAACAGTCTCTTAACTTAAGTGTACCCAAGTGGTGAGTTACTACAATGTTAGACAACTGTTGAGCCAAATTGGTAGAACTTACTTCTTATAGTAGTGAGTTACTTGTAAATCAGTTGAGGTCATAGTACTTCCATCACCAAAATCCCAAAGAATATTGACATTGCTGCCACCAYTTAATTTCACAGTGAAGGAGAAATTCTGTTTGGATACAGTAACCATACTGTGCTCCAGTGTAACCTAAAAGAAAAGTGTTTCATGAAGAGTCTATGTATTACCAAGTAAATACAGCAATATGCAGAAATTMTGACCACTTTGACTCATATTCCAACTATATATAAAATATATCAGAAATTATGGGATATCATCGCTGATATTTTTTTCCGATACTGCTGATCCTAGCCAACTTCAAAAAAATATCAGTGACCATATCCCATAATTTCTGATATATTTTATATATAGTTGAAATATGAGTCAGAGTGGTCAGAATTTCTGCATATTGCTGTATACTATCACATAAAATTAGGAAGCCATTTCAGAATTTTAAAATGGAAGGTTTGCAATTAACCCAAACCATAAGAAATTGCATCATAATGAATAATAAACARGAAGATCGTGGCTGAGTTTGATGGGTTTTTTTAACTGCACTKCTCCTAAGAACCATACAAAAATAGTTACTTGATGCACTAAACCATAATAGGCTAAACCTCATGATGAGAAGCAAAGTAAGTTTTGAAAGGGTCATTCCCAGTCTAATTTTGGGGAACAACACTTTCCTTACAGCTAGATTTTGATAGATAAAGGAGAATAGGTGTCAAGACATTTCCTCTTAATAAACCTTAGAGAGAATCAATATTACAAGTTCACCATTGATTCAAATACATCCTGGCGTACCTTGTTAATACGTTCCTCAATTACAATAATCAAAGTGTTGGATGAAACTGTTAAGCTACTATTCACAAAAAAGTTTCTGGCGAAAACTTGAATTTGGAATCTGAAAAAAGACAAACATTGACCCACCATTAACACACTTTACTGCAGTTTTCTGTTTTCTGCAAACTCTAGCACTGTGAACAKTAATGGTCATTTACTGTTTTTGCTCCAATCAATCAAAATTCTGAAGTAAAGGAACTACTCTCGTGTTAACGTTCACAGTGCTAGAGTTCCCAGAAAACGGAAAACCACAGTAACATACCGTATTTAACCATGTATAAGCCGCTCTCGTAGATAAGCCGCACCCCGAGTTTTAGGAATGTTTTTGAGGAAAAAAAAAGACGTAAAATAAACTTTTCTCTACAGCTTTCTTTGCTTTTCTGCTGCTCGATTTCCGTGATCCATGCATTTTGTATGCAATTACGATCTGTTTATTTAACGTGCTGTGTGTGATGAATTTGATCTTGGAGACATAAATTGTTAAGATTGATAATTGATACTTTAAATAAATATTAATATTTTTCTATTGTGGCTGCTTCAATAATATTGACRTCATAACAAAATAGTTATTAAACATTTAACAGCTATCAATAATTAATTCCAGGGTTTGTGCTACATTTTCATTACTAAAGGATTTTTCTAGTACAAACCCTGTAGTTTTAAACATATAATTTCATATTGTTTTTAGAATACACTAAGTAAAATTTGAAATTGAATATTAAATTCAATGTTCAATGGCTCTTTACATTACCTTCCTATTTCACGGAATTTTTTTTTAAGGCTTGCAGAAAACCCAGAAGTCATCTCCTTTCTATTAGAATACCATGTAAAATGAACTTGATGAAAGGATGGGAAAGTTGCGGCATCCAATTTCACCCAGCTGTTACCCAACTCAAATATGTGTATGGGTGATGAGTTATTTCCTTCGATGGACAATGTTACATCTAAAAAGGAAGTACATGTATCATAMAGCAAYTTCTATGTAATAACGACTCAAAAAGCTCTAAAATTATGGAAAACAACAGAAAGCAACAACAAAGAAAAATAGTTTTTTCTGTTACTAGTAAGGTTTTAGTACATGTACCCGTATATAAGCCGCTCTTGTAGATTTAAGCCGCACCCCAAGTTTTGGGAACGGAATATAAACTTTTCTCTTTGTGATCAAATATACAGTATACATGGGTAAATACAGTATGTGAATATATTATCAGGAGCCACACTTTTACGTGTTAAGCGCCGTTAAATTTTTCCTTGACAAGTTTCTTTACAAGAAAAAATTGTCTGTGTAAATGGTCAACAAGTTTTCCTTGACAATTCCTCCTTGACAATGTTTCTTTGCTTGTGCAAACAAAGAACAAGTTTTCCTTCACAAGCAAAAATTGCCTGTGTAAATGGTCAACAAGTTTTCATTGACAACTTTTCCTTGCCACATTTTCCTTGTTGTCCATTTACATGAGCAAATTTCGTCCTTGACAATTTTTCCTTGACAAGGAAAAGTKAACATGTTAGAAAAACAATGCAAAAAAAACAGATTGATGACATCATATGAAATCATAGTGACAATTTGGTATSTAAGGCTTTTAAGAAGAAATCTTAATAGTATGTAATAAGTGTGAGGACTACAAGTAGTATCATGCTTTGCCGCTTAAAATGGCATGGTTGCACACTGCCTATTAATATGTATCAACTTCAACATTAGTGCTACTGTAGTAATTGCCGCTATTGGTATTCATGATACATGTATTACATTATGACATAATAGAAAACCGTCGTGGTATATTACTTTTTTGACTTACTTTTTAGTGGTGTTTGTATATACACACTTCCATTTACAGTTTGATCATTTATGTCATTGAAAACTTTCAATGAAAACATATGCTTCTTCACTTCATAAAATTTATGCTTTATGTAAGGCACTGAAAATACACAAAAAAAAACACTTCTTAATAATACATCAATATAATATTATTTGTATAAAGGCAAATTACTTACAGAGTACTACTCAATAGTTCAAGAACTAGAGCTCAATTTTGAGGCAATAAATAAACAACAACAACAAATAATTATAATTACAATAACATACAGCACAACACAGTCAACTTTAATCTGACAAGTACTTGCAATTTTTGTATGGAATGAAACTAYATAGTGATAAACTTGACTTATCCTTTTTTATTTTATTTTTTTTTTTGCCTTAAAATAAATTGGGAAACATGAATAAATGAGTCAATCAGAAATTAGTTAACCAGACATTATTGCGATTTGTCAATGGCAGTTACCAGACATTATTGCTATCTCAGTCTATCAGTAAACCAGACATTTTTTACTATCTTAGACTATCAGTTAACCTAACTTTATTGCCACGTAAGTCAATAACATAATGTTAAGACATTATTGCCGCCTAAGTCAGACAGCAAACCAGAAATTATTGCTGTCTAAGTCAGACAGTATATATAAACCAGGCACTTTGCAATATTCACAAATTCCATACTCAGGTTCAGTGACCATGAACAAAGCATTGAGCCAAGGCGTAAAACTGAGCATAAAAGAAAAGATCTGTGATCAGTGTTCCTTGATGCCTCGGTTTAGTGCTTCGTTCGTGGTCACTGAACCCAAGTATGGAAAGTCGTGAATAAGTCAACCGTAATATATTCATTGTTTACCATATTATGTCTAGTTACAGCCTTTTGCAGAAATTATGAGAATTGCCTAAATATCTAAATATCATAATATCCATATCCATATATTGTCCGGAACACGCGGGTTTGCTAGAATAATTCATTGTTGACATCGAGAAAATGTTCAGAACTACGGATAAGTCAATCGCCAAAAAAAAACTAAACTACAAAGACAAAGGACTAAGGGCATCGCGTGGGATTACCCATCATGCACTCGATATTATGATATTTAGATATTTCAACAATTCTCATAATTTTTGCAAAAGGCTGTATATCTAGCCTAGTTAATAATATAATGAGTGGTTACTATACCTGTTGTTGTGTTGACAGTTTTCCAATCATCAAATGTCCAATTAAATCTAAAGCTGCACAAGTAATCATCATTATTGCGGACTTTGATTTTTACCCATTCACCAGGCAAACCACCAATAAGAGAAAATTTTATGCTGGAGACTGGTTTCTGGACATTAACAGGAATTACTGGCAAACTCACATTACCAANATTATTGCTGTCTAAGTCAGACAGTATATATAAACCAGGCACTTTGCAATATTCACAAATTCCATACTCAGGTTCAGTGACCATGAACAAAGCATTGAGCCAAGGCGTAAAACTGAGCATAAAAGAAAAGATCTGTGATCAGTGTTCCTTGATGCCTCGGTTTAGTGCTTCGTTCGTGGTCACTGAACCCAAAGTATGGAAAGTCGTGAATAAGTCAACCGTAATATATTCATTGTTTACCATATTATGTCTAGTTACAGCCTTTTGCAGAAATTATGAGAATTGCCTAAATATCTAAATATCATAATATCCATATCCATATATTGTCCGGAACACGCGGGTTTGCTAGAATAATTCATTGTTGACATCGAGAAAATGTTCAGAACTACGGATAAGTCAATCGCCAAAAAAAAACTAAACTACAAAGACAAAGGACTAAGGGCATCGCGTGGGATTACCCATCATGCACTCGATATTATGATATTTAGATATTTCAACAATTCTCATAATTTTTGCAAAAGGCTGTATATCTAGCCTAGTTAATAATATAATGAGTGGTTACTATACCTGTTGTTGTGTTGACAGTTTTCCAATCATCAAATGTCCAATTAAATCTAAAGCTGCACAAGTAATCATCATTATTGCGGACTTTGATTTTTACCCATTCACCAGGCAAACCACCAATAAGAGAAAATTTTATGCTGGAGACTGGTTTCTGGACATTAACAGGAATTACTGGCAAACTCACATTACCAATGGCATTAGAAACATCCACTTGAACTGTATAGTTACCACATTGTAGATACTTATGCCATATTGTTATACATTTTAAGCCCTTAGCATAAGGATTTTTCATCTTTTTTGTTGAGATAAAAACTGGTAATGATCCATCAGCAAAGGATGCAATAAAATCAACCTTTGAACCTTCATCAASGGACACTTTAAGAAATAAGTCTTCCCGAAATTTAATAAGTGTTGCATTTTGCCCATCTACTAAAGCTTTTGTTTTTGGTTTCACATCAACAAGACGAATACCAGACACAGGAACAAGAACGTCTAAATCTCTACACTCTGAAGCTTCTGATACCAGGTTTTTAACTTTTACACACAACTTGTATTCTCCAGGGATTGAAAACCCAATTGTCTTGTTAGTTCTGGTTTCATTTCCATCAAGTGAATGAATGCTGTAGTTCCAGGGAGAATCATTCAATTCCCAGGTTAYATACAATTTGCTCAAAGTCTGATTCATTCCTTGTATGGACTGTAAGTCTCTAGTTTCATTGGTCATTCCATTGACAAATACTATTATCGCCAAAGCAAGTCCAGTATTTACAGGGATAGCTTTKGACTTCAGGGCCATAGACACTTTATAGATAACAGGAAGGGCAGTGGTGTACACACTCTTGAATCCATTGCCACCACAAAAAAGACTTTTCTCACTTGGA